TTTGTTTGGCCAAGGGCCCCCCATGGAAATGGAACCACTGCCAATACCATAAAAAGGCTACGTGCCAGGAAGATCGTCGACTTTTATGCTTCTGTGTTCCCCCTTATGGATACATCATGCACGCGAGGGCAACTCTTCGAATACTTCTTGTTTGGATATGATTTTTCTCCATTGTATTGAGGTGAGAGTGGACTCTGGGAATTCGACACGTGTCCACCGGCGACCCGATGGTATTAAGGTCCTTTCCTCATAGCATGTGCCTACTCGAAGGCCATTCTACATTGATGGCTGACATCGCTCTTACTTGTCGAGTAGGCAGCCTACCCGACGACGGTTCATCCACCATCCAAAAATGGAGTGGCTATTAGTTCCCTGTGGACCGTTGTCCAGTTAGTAATGTAGAACCCGACGACAGTTCATCCACCATCCTGCCCACTGACAGGATAAGGCGGCGGCAAGCCTTTCTACCATCAAGAGGAAATTCCCATCGAAAGGATAATCTCACTATTATATATATTGGCCTTCCATGTCCTGACATGCACAAGACATTTATGTTTTGACAATCAAGTTTATTCGCCCTCATATCTCTTATCAATTTAAGTATCGGAGGATCAATTCGAGTCACGAACCGGAACGCTTTAACCATTATCAGTGGGTGCAGGTCTGTTTCTTGATCGAAGCTCCGCGAGGCCAGATTCGCGCCTCAACTAATTAGGTTATCCGATTGTCATTCAAGACCAAGGGCTTCAATTATAAGAATCTCGAGGCTTTTTGTCGATATTATAATCTCGCGCCGCAAAGAAGCACGAGTGTAAAGAAACATGTACGCGTCGTCGAAGAAAGAGACTTATTAGAAAGTACGCTCGATACTCGTTTTTTTTGGATTCCCCGCGATAGGAATCCAGGCTCTCTCCCCAGTTTGAATTCTTACGTCACACTTTCCGAGGCCGGAGTCCTTTTGCTAGACATACGACATTCGAACGCGGGACAGCAATTTGCTGTCGCCTTTTTCCGTCTCTTCAACATCGTTTAACGTAAGAAAAGTCTCCAGAGACTGGCTTTAATGATTGATTTTACTCGATCAATTTAAAGCGCGATCGATTGAATAAACCACCGACCGACTATATACATCTGTCCACGACGACCCTACACACTTTGCTTTGTCTTTTTGAAGGTATAACGTGATTTTGATTCATGGTCAATGCTTTGAATCCGGTCATGGTGTAAACGCGACTCGGGAAAAGTGAACGGCGGCCAACTTTGCCAAGTGGCCATCTTCCTTCCTTCCATTTCCAGGGTGTAAAGGCAAGGGGTCCGCGTTCCTCCCACTACCGATTTAAAAATCACTGTATTTCCATTGAAATTCGAGGGGCGGATCCCCCCCAAAAAAAAAATTCAAAGAATAAAAATTCAAAGCTCACCTACTCAAGGTCATAGTCGTTTTTTTTTTTTTGGTTCGGAAGAGTTATAGTTGATTGAAAGCACAAGAATTCCTATTGATGTTTAAATTTTGAGTTAATACCATCAAAAACTCCAAATTATATCCATTGTAACACATTTATTTTAAACTTTTTTTTTTGTGACACCAAAAATCTCAAATTATGCTCATTATGACACGATTACCCAAATTTTTTTTTTGTGATATCAAAATCCCCAAATTATGCATTTTGTGACATATTTACCCTCCGTCGTAATTCCGTCCAAAATCACCGTTCATCGCACTGTTCAGCGTCTTCTTCATGAAATTTTTTTTACTGTTCATCGTCTTCTCCATAGCTTTGCGAAGAACTGTTCGTCGCGCTCTTCCTCCTCCAGCGCTCTTGCTTCGCTGCCCACTGCTACTTCGACCTCTGGCGGCTCTCGTCAGCGCTTGCCCGACCACCCACGAGCTTCGAAGATTGAGGTGAGACCCGACCGTCAATCCAAGCTTTGAGGTCGAGCGACCATGGTGGCCGCGAGCTTTGAAGCTCGATCTTCAAGCTACTTCGAAGCTTGGGCTTGGCCGCTTGCAACCACCCGTGAGCTTCGAAGGTCGAGGTCAGATCCTCAAGCTAAGCTTCGAGCTAGAGCGGTCATGGCGGTCGTGAGCTTCGAAGCTTGGCCATGGTGGCTTGCGACCACCCGCGAGCTTCGAAGCTTGGCCTTGGCCGCTTGCGACTACCCGCGAGCTTCGAAGGTCGAGTTCAGACCCTCAAGCCAAGCTTCAAGCTAGAGCAGTCATGGTGCCCACTCAAGCTCGACCATCTCAAAGCTTCGTTTTCTGGACAAAAAAGTACCATTCTTCCTCGCAGAGAAGACGATGAACAATAAATTTTTTTGCTAGGTAGCAGTGGGCAGGGAAGCAAAGAGCATCAGAGGAGTTTGGCCAAGCAAACGTGATGAACAGTATTTGTAAAGCTGTGGAGAAGACGATGAACAGTAAAAAATTCATGAAGAAGACGATGAATAGTGCGATGAACGGTGATTTTGGACGGCATTGTAACGGAGAGTAAATGTGTCACAAAATGCATAATTCGAGGTTTTTTGTGTCAGAAAAAAGAGTTTGGGGTAAATGTGTCACAATAGGCATAGTTTGGAGTTTTTGGTGTCACAAAAAAAAAATTTAGGGTAAATATGTCACAATGAATATAGTTTGGGGTTTTTTGTGATATTAACCCTTAAATATTTTGTGCACCATGCGGAGCTCATCATACCTTACACGTGCATTAATTTGCAGGGTCTATGTTTAAGTGTCAAAGTAAAACATGAACAAAAATAAAATAATAGTAAAAATTCTTAAAAAATATATACTTTAGCTGAAAATCGCTGACGGGGATAATTTAAAAAAATATATATTTTTTTAAATTATCCCCGTCAGCGATTTTCAGCTAAAGTTAGCCTGATGGATTGAATTGACACAAAGGCAAAAATTTTAAGACTCAATTGACAAAAAAAAAAAAAGGACTGAATTAGCATAATTGCAATATTTTTAAATTTTGTTTGGTAGTTCTCCCCTCAGATTGAATCGATCAATTACTTACTCTCATCAATGCATCACATCTTCCCTTAACTTGAATTTAATGAGACAGATAGCTAGAACAATGTAAATCTATCAACTTTCAAGGCTTGACGAATAGGAAGAATGCATGCGCTCTTTAGACCTTTCAGGAACACGAATTAGTTGAGGTGTGCGAAAAATGAGTTAGACTTGATTGCCAAATTTTAAAAACAAACAAAGTTGTTTGGCTCTTAAGTCTCCTTTGCCAAAGTCATATCTCTCTCTCTCTCTCTCTCTCTCTCATACTTTGAATGGTACTCTTAGGTTGTCAAACCATATTACTTTCATGAATATAATTCGCTCTTAGTTAGACTTGATCATGAGCCTAGTGACCAGCCTACCCATGCTTATGCCTAACCACAAGAGCCAAAGGCATCTTTGGGCGAGCCTAGGCGAGCCACAAAAGTTGTAGGGCCTGCCCCAATAGTTGTAGGGCTTGAGCTAAGCTGGCCACTTTATTGTACATTTTCTAGCCGATGGGCGAGCTTGGCTGTAATCTTAGCTTAACTCGTGGATCCAAACCAGACCGAACCAGTCCATTGATCACCTCTATTCCTAGTATTAACTCTATGTGATGGACACATTATAATGAGTTACCTTGGGGAGTGAATTAGAATGAGCAAGCTTGGCCGAATTCCTTAGGTCATTGGGTGGGCTTGAGCAAAAATTCCATACCCGGTTAGTGGGTCGGCCAAGCTTGGGCAATTTTTCATATTTTTCTCATACTTCTTTTATCTTTTAGCCGAAACTTTAAAAAATAAAAAATAAAAAGCGAACCGATGGATGGGGCCCACCCATGTTTTTCCATTGGGCGAGCTCCAGTACTTGCCCAAGCTCGCAAGTTCGAGCCTGGGTAGGATCTCTAAAGGTTCGGCCCCGAGCAGGCCTAGCCTGAGCTCCCCCAATGAGTAGTTCTAGAGTAAAGTTTCTATTTTCGTCATCCTTCGCTACCGCTAGCCAAACCTATACGGTACAATGAACCGTGTTTTCCCTTATCCACGATACATTAACTTGATTTTGATCAAACAAATGTCTAGGACACGAAATTTGTCTGACTCTCAGCGGTACAATAAAAAGAAAAGCATTGTGTCTTGGGCCAGAGGGAATTCATGTTACTTCCAATGGAATCAAAATCTATATTGCAATGTCAACGGTGTATATTATTCACTATGTGATGGATTCGAACAATACAACATCCATTATCGCCGGGTGAAGTCTCTATAGTCTTTGTGGTCCTTCCTCATCGCTAGAATTGTACACTGAATCATGTTTTCCCCTTACCCATGGCCATGATATATACTTAACGTACAAGGAACTTGCCATTTTTTGTACAGTTTCATGGAAAGAAAGGCTTGGCATGGCTGCTCTTTTCTGCCCTCTTCGCCAAGTATGTCTCTTGATGTGTTAATGATTTCAGAATCAAAAAGCGGGTCGACACAGCAACATGGTCACTGAGTTTGGATCGAGTCCCATTTTAAAACTAATACAGAGAGAATCTTTGGGATAACGCATACGATAAACGTATCATTGTCGCTAATCCTGTGCTCCGAGTCTCGTCCAAAGGCCAGAATCTTAGTATATGTATATCTTCACATGGCTTTGGAGCTCGAGGCAGATCTCCCTGGGAGAACTCAGCAGGATGAGATATTTGAGCCTACTTGTCTGCTTAACTAAGGAAATCATTCAAAGAGAAAAGGAAAATCTTCTAAATTTGCAAAACCTAATCCACGTTGATTAGCGGCGCATCCATCCATATGCACGGTTCATTTAAATAATCCCATCCTCACATGGACCTTCGAAAAGAGGGTCATAATATAAAGGCACGAAATCATATTAAATTGGCACGAGAAATAATTGTCCAAGCAAATTCAAAAAGTTGACACCATATATATATATATATATATATATATATATATATATATATATATATATATATATATATCTGTACTCACGCACCAACAGCAAATAGTTTTCATTGTCTCGTTCAGCTCCCAACTTACTCTTGCCTTACATAGGTTATTACATTACTATCCGATGGGCGACCTGGGAAGTAACACAAGGCTACTGAGATCAGATCTAGTGGCCAAGTGGTGCATTGCTGTGCTGATCTCAGTGGTTTTAGTCGGGCCGAGCACTTGTGCTGCGAAAACCATGCACTTCAGATGGGAAGTGGAGTACAAGTTCTGGTCTCCGGACTGTGTCGAAGGCATCGTGATGAGCATCAATGGGCAGTTTCCGGGGCCGACCATAAGTGCTGTGGTTGGCGACACCATCTCCGTCAAGCTCACCAACAAGCTCAGCACCGAGGGTGTTGTTATCCATTGGCATGGGATCAGACAGGTAGTTAATTTGTTTAGTCATTATGTTTGTTTATCCTCTCTCTCTCTCTCTCTCTCTCTCTCTCTCTCTCTCTCTCTCTCTCTCTCTCTCTCTCTCTCAAGTTTGTGAACGAATGATGAATGCTTGAAGTTGAAGTAGAAAGAAAGGCTTGAGTTTGATATGATGATTCGCTCTCTTATTTTATTATACTGTTCAGTTGGGGACTCCATGGGCAGATGGTACAGCCTCCATCTCGCAGTGCCCCATCAACCCCGGAGAGACTTTCACTTACAGATTCAAAGTTGACAAGGTTATTACTCTCTCTCTCTCTCGCTCTCTCTCAACCAGCTCATTGGTAAACTTCCCTACCGAGAAAGAAGTTGCTGTCATAAGTTTGTGAAAGAAGAAGTGTATTTTGCTTCCAAAACTACATCAATCTTGGAAAGACACATGTCATTTACCAAGATGAGTCTGTATAAACAAAGCTTTACACAAAATATACCCAAAAAATAAGTACTTAGTACAGAAAACTCACATGGCTAAGTGGGTTGTCAATTTGTTTCAATAATGCAAGGTGACATTAGGCTCATGTCACGACAAACCACTTAGTCTGTCAAGTAATAACAAGCTTTTGTGCACCTTCTTTTTCGAAATATGATTACACTGATACCATAATTATAGAGTATAAACGAAGCATTTAGAGGATTCAGGAAATCATTGAGAAGTGCCTGGTCTTCAGTGCTTGGCCCAACCAAAAGCCGCTGAGATCAGCACAACAATGCGCCATTTAGCCACTAGGTCTGATCTCAGTGTCCTCACTGTGCCTGAGTCACTAGTGGGTCGACCATTGGATGATGATGTAATTGCTTACATGAAAGAAAGAGAAAGTAGGAAGCTGAACGAGACAACGAACACCATTTGCTGTTGATGGGGTGATTATCTGTATACTGAGGTATACAAGCTTTTTTTTAATTTGCTTGGACTACCATTCTTTGTGGAATTTAATATAGACTATCCATCGGTGAAACCGCTACAGAAGTTTGGAAGTGGGAACCCTAGAAAAAAACATTATCTATTTCGTTGGAAGGATCACATCACAATCATGATGCATATATATATCAAGAAAGTCATTTCCAGTGAATCGCCTAACCGTATTTATACCGAGAAAGGTTCCAAAATAATCAGACCGAAATATATCGTTCGACTCCAATTTGTTAAATGACAAAAAACTATTAAAAACTGAGGAGTTGTAGTGATAGTGGATTGCAGGTAGGGACGTACTTCTACCATGGGCATTACGGGATGCAGAGAGCGGCGGGTCTATATGGGTCGCTGATAGTGCTGCCGGGAGAAGGAGAGAAAGAGCCCTTCCACTACAACGGCGAGTTCAACCTCTTGCTCAGCGATTGGTGGCACAAGAGCGCGCGCGAGCAGGAGGTCGGCCTCTCTTCCGTTCCCTTCCGTTGGATAGGCGAACCTCAGGTAACCCTTACAAGCACAAAACTCGTAATGATAATGCTAGGTATAGTAATATGTTTCAAAGAACCAAACGCAAATGTACAAAAACGTTTGAAGAGTTTTGTTTTTCCTCTTAGATTTGTGGGGCCATATGTGTCTTGGAAACGTGCATTTAAATAATGAAAAGCTGGTTTGCGCGTCCAATGCATGCTGTCTGGTTAACGTGCAGTTGCCGACTACTGTGGAATAAAAATACTCCTTCCGACATGGTTGCCCCATGACTTATGTATTTTAAAGGATTCGTCCCGGAGAATTTAGCTAATATGTGAGCCAAAATACTCTTCCACACGACACGACGCAAGTAGTCCTGATCTATTCGGTGCAGAAATCAAGGAGATGGCCGTTGTTAGTTTCCAAGGTCACCGATTGTGTTCTAGACGCCCAGATCTTGTCACGGAGAGAGAGAGAGAGGAACATACAGAGAGATAATGTAACAATTTCACCGTACATATTTTCCGATTTTAAAAAACTCCACGGCCATCCATACTTCTTATTATTGGGTCACGGATCATGGACATCACCTATGCACAAACTTAAATGGGACGACGCACACATTTTATCCCATCTATTAGAGAATTGGTTGGAGATGGTTTCTCCCTATCAAGATTATAGGAAACTATGGCCCTTTGCATATTGCCACGTGATCGATTCACCTGAGGACAAAAGAGGGTATGTCCCGCTGTTTTTATGAGTCGTGGGGACTCTTATTTCAAATTTTGAGTTTTAAGAGAGTAATTACTCTTTTTAGTAGGTAAAATTTTTTCACCTAATATAAAAGACTTTTTGGACATATGGGGTGGCCTCCACGTTAGCCCCCTTATATGCTCGTCACCATAACACCCTCTGTTTATTTGACGCGAGATCATATCTCTTAGTGACATTGTGTATAAGCAATGTCAAGCTCGCATAACAGCAGACATGTGCAAACTTGTCTTTGAGACTATATTAGTTGTTGAGATCAAGCCACGGATTTGGTCACATTTGGAGCTTAAATAGATGAAAGTTGGGTCAAAATACCAATTTTGGGTGCATCCTTTTCCCCCTTTTGCTGTCCAAGTAACTTACCTAGCAATGATGGGTTCTGGATTCAGTCACTGCTGATCAATGGAAGAGGGCAGTACAATTGCTCTTTGGCTGCGAGCTACAGCAACTCCACCTCCTCGGCTCAGTGCATATTGGGAGGGGGTGAACAATGTGCTCCTTTCATTCTTCCTGTGCTCCCAAACAAGACTTACAGGCTCAGGCTCGCCAGCACCACCGCCCTTGCTTCTCTCAACGTGGCCATTGGGGTACCCCTCTCTCTCTCTCTCTCTCTCTCTCTCTCTCTCTCTCTCATGTTATGTGAGATCTTTGCGGTATCATGAGAGTCCTTCGACTCTGACGGTGTGATTTTTTAAGCAATTAGGATCATTAAATAAAATGCGGATCGTTAGGATTGAACATACCATAACTCATAACAACAATAGTCATGCATTGTATATAATCTTCACATTACGAGAGTGTGTCATCTTGAATCACATATATTGTTGTAATAAGCTTTTTATACATTGATCTTTATAAGCAATTTGTCCCCGCTTGTATTGTACTCGATTGCATGATTGATAAGGGCTGCATTAAGCGGTTTCCACCTAAGATATTTCTCTTTCACAGATATGCTAGGTTTAAAACAACTAAACTACAACATCTATTTACCGAGTGATGTGAGCTTTCAAACAGATGAGTCATATTCAACGGGTACTGATAGCCCGAGATATCATCCAGTAAGTAAACAATTCTACGGAACAGTTCTAAAAAATTCAGTATTTTTCTTTCGGGAATTAAACACTAAATATTTCAGCAGTAGGTGGTACGCATGAGTGAATGCTTCGAAGGAAAATATTTAGAGAAGATGAGGTGTATAATTTAAAAGGGGAAACAAGAAATTCAATTAGGAAGATGACATTTCGATGAGAAAATGGATCTCTTTTCCTCAAGGAAATGCCTAAAAATGGATATTTCACTTGGATAATTCTAAAAAAAAATTAGCCGAAAAGTAATCCGGCGAGGACTATTTTCTTTTGTCCTTGTCAGGGTCACAAGATGGTGGTGGTGGAAGCCGACGGCAACTACGTCCAACCTTTCGCCGTCGACGACCTCGACATTTACTCCGGCGATAGCTACTCCGTCCTGATACACACCGACCAAGACCCCCGCCAAAATTACTGGATCGCCATCGGCGTCAGAGGAAGACAACCCAACACCTCCCAAGCCCTCACCGTCCTCAACTACCTCCCCAACTCCGCCTCCAAGCTCCCCGCCTCGCCGCCTCCGACCACCCCTCTCTGGAACGACTACAACCACAGCAAGTCCTTCTCCACCAAGATCCTCGCCCTGGTCGGCTCCCCCCGGCCGCCGGCCACCCACGACCGCCGGATCTTCCTCCTCAACACACAGAACGAGTTCAACGGCCAGACCAAGTGGTCGATCAACAACGTCTCCCTCTCGCTCCCGCCGACGCCGTACCTCGGCTCGATCAAGCACAACATCCTCGGCGCCTTCGACCCGAGGAGCCCGCCGGTGAGCTTCCCGGCGGACTACGACGTGATGCGGCCGCCGGCGAACCCCAACTCCACCGTGGGGAGCGGAATCTACACGCTGGAGCTCCACGCGACGGTCGACATCATCCTCCAGAACGCGAACGCCCTGGACGCGAACAAGAGCGAGATCCACCCGTGGCACCTGCACGGGCACGACTTCTGGGTGCTGGGCTACGGGGAGGGGAAGTTCGCGCCGGGGGACGACGACAAGAGGCTGAACCTGAAGAACCCGCCGCTGAGGAACACGGCGGTGATATTCCCGTACGGCTGGACCGCCCTGAGGTTCGTGGCGGACAACCCGGGGGCCTGGGCCTTCCACTGCCACATCGAGCCGCACCTGCACATGGGCATGGGGGTCGTGCTCGCGGAGGGAGTGGGTGCGGTGCGGAGGATGAAGATGCCGGGCGCGGCTTTCGCCTGCGGTTTGACGGCGAAGATGGTGGCGAACGACGGCGGCCGTGGCTGAGCCGCGCGCGCCCCCAACAGCGACGAAAGATGATATTGCCGAGTATGGTTTTGGGTTTGACAAATAGAGTCAACTATTAATTAAGTCCTAAGTTTCGACCCAAAAAAAAAAAAATTAAGTCCTAAGTTGAAGAATTACATTATTTGCAAAGATATTAATTTAAGTTTGGTCTTTCGATTGAATTGATTGACGAGATGAGTCTTCGGAATATTTTTTTTTCTTGGGTGGGAAAGGAAAATCTCGGTGGGTCGGGATTTTCCCGTTGCGTGCTTTTTCCAATTAGGGTTGAATTTTTTTTTTTTAGCGTGAGATTAGTAATTAAAAGTAAACGAGTGCAGAAAGTTTTTTATATGTAATTTATGCTAATATAATCGCGTCGTGGTTGTAATTTGAAATTTATCTGGAAATTCGTGAACTTTATTTTTTTGACAACTTCGTGAAAAGAATTCGTGGGTTAGATACAGATTTATTTTGTTGCTCAGACCTATTAATCATTCTAAAGATTCATAATATTTTTTCTTTTCAAGACGGGCCTTAGCTCGGGCACTACTGGACTGGGCCGGGCTTTGTGCCACGCCTGGCCCAAGCTTGTCAGAGTTGAACTTCGAGCCCATGAGTTGTTCGGCCACTATTAGATCTAATGTTAGAAATGTTGATGACAACATAGACTGTTAAACATATGGTGAGACATGGAATTAAATTCCTCAAATTCTAAGTTCCTAATGAACAAGTCCGACCGTAATTTTTACTTTTTTGAAGCAAATTAAGTTCCCTTCACCGCCAATAGGCATGCGGCTCTACTGGTAGAGGGATTAGGGGATCACCGCCAATAGGCATGCGGCTCTACTGGTAGAGGGATTAGGGGATGAGGATGTTGGTATCACTGGTGCGGGTTCGACTCCCGTACTCTGCAAGAAACAAAGCAAATGTCACAGACTTAGACAAAAAAAAAGTTTCCTTCAGCTGCTCGGGCCTTTTTTTTAATTATTTAATCCTCTTGAAAATGAACAATTCATTTCTGTGACCTCTCATATTCAGTATCGCAAAAATGAAATCCAAGGAAAATAGCATACAGGATGAGTACGACGGTGGACACTGCAATCGTCATTTCACGAATCTTGAACTCAATGACGTAAAGAACTTCTCGGTTCCTTTGATCGCGTTAGTTGGATGGTTTAAGAACACCTAGTTAATTCTGTTTAAGCAAGAATATGTGTCAATAATACATAAAAACAAGATTTGGTACAACTTATGGGATTTATAAAACATTTCACGAACCTTCAGACAACCTAGTCTTCACGTCTCCATACAGTGAGAAAATCTTCCAAAAAGTTTTAAGTTTTCAGGAATTTCCAGTCAAAATTATCTATAAGGATTATACCGATAAATCGTCAAAAAATATAACATTAAATTGATAAAATCAAAAAGTGTAAAATTGAATTTTCTATGCGCCACCGTTGAGAAAGTGGTTTGTCTTGCAAAGGAAGAATTCCAAATGGCAAGCGAGCGACAGCTTTGTCCACATCTCATTGCCATACAACCCAGATACAGCCAAAACACGCGACGATGAAGCTTTCCACACGCACAAACGCAAACTTTGGTAACGCGTTTCTTTTCTATCTCTTCTTTTTTTCTTTTTTTGCCTCGATCGGCTAATAATAAAATGGCCATGTTGATTAATTATTATAAGGTATTGTTTCTAATAATGCCCCAAGTGCTTATTTTTTTTGTTTTTTGTTTTTTTACCTTTCATTTTTATGGTTAAAAATTAGATCATCCCATTTACGTGCATCATATCGATCTTCGACATGATTAGCTACGGACATCAATTTGAGTGGGAGATGTTGCGATTTGAATAAACAATATGCAACATTCAAATTAAACATTTAAGCACTCAGCTAGCACTTACTGATTATACACTTCAATACTTACTAATTAAAATTAACGTTGCGTACACAACCCGTGGGATTATTTTGGACACCTCCCCACATTAGTTATGGGGTTCATTTTTCAAAGTTCTTATTACAGATTTCATAAATAATAATACTCTACGGTAGTGACTCGGGGTATCGGCTAAGCGATCAAATGTATGATTCGAATATTGCCAATTCCCATATCCCGACCACACTAGTTCCCACTCACAATAATCTCGCAAGATCCCCATTACAGGTGGAGCCATACCAAATGCACGTGAACGGCACAATATACATGCATCCGGAGATTAATCGAACCGAAATGTTTAGACGACAAATGCATGGAACGCCATAATGTTTTCTCATCTTGAACAGCGTTCCCGAACGCTTGATTCATAAGATTTCATATGATAAACAACAGGAATTTTTTTTCCTAATTTATTCAATGTGAACGAGCAAGAAAGAAGAGGGTAGACCATTTCGGATGGGGTTCATGATGCAAAATGGTGTGAACATCGAAGGAGGGACAGTTGTGCTCCATTAGTTAACAGCTCGTTCTTCCTCGTGCCGACAGGGACCCCGATCGAAGCAATACTTCTTCTCCGCCTGCACCCATCCTTCCTTTCCATGATCTAAACTCCATCATTCCTCCATTAACTAGATTCGATTGCAGAGAGAGAGAGAGGGAGAGGAGCTGCTTCTTCTGGATCCGACATCTCAGACTGGTCTAGCGTATCAGGTATTGTGTCTTGCCTCTTCTTTCTTGTTCATCTCATCTCAGATAGATCTTGGTCGGGCTTCTTGTCTGTTGGGGACTCATCCCCTTCCCTCGCGGCGTGTTTCCCCTCGAGTTGTGCCGATCGCAAATTGCGTATTGCGCGAGATTTTTGCGGAGTGATTGGTGCTGTGCTCTCCTTTTGCGGACACCCTTCTTCTTCTCCTGAAATCCTGGCCTTCGAACCCAAACCACAATCTACCTTGTTTCGACACATTGCGTGCTAATTCCTCCGTTCTAACTTCACTATGTCATGTGAGTCTGCATAATATCTGAATACCTGACTCCGTCGAATCCCTGTAAAAGCACTCGAAACCTTTCGAATCATCATAAAATACCAATACTCGTTTTATACTCGATTCTCCATTTCAACTCATCTTGAAGTGCATTCCAACTCGAAATTTCGAAATCGGCTTAAGCTTATTCGAACCTTAATTGGTAGGGTCAGGATTTTACGAATTCGTCGTCTTATCAAGTGTCGTATCTTTTTTTTCTTTTGAAAATTTTAAATCATTCACTTTCAGTTCCTACGATATAAGCAAGACCCCACTAACATCTCAAACGAAGAAATTACAAAATTAAGAAATTACAAACCTGCAAAACCATAGAGGCTAGGCACATTCAATAACAAGGGTCCGTCCGGGTAAAAGTACCCGACCCGAAGAATTCCCGGACAAAATAAGCTTTCGGTTTCGGACAAGATGACAGCCGTAAATCCAAATGCCGTACCGCCAGCTCGAGCTCGAGCCACGCCAGGCGAATTACAGAATTTACACTACACGCGCCTTTTTCTTACCAGATGCTCACGTGGCACCGTATCATTGGATGATCACGATGGTGCCGACCAGTCGACCCAGCCCCCCTTTCGTAATTTCACACACGCTTACACACACGAACTTCTATACGCGTTGATATTGTCACCTCACGCGCTCGACTCGTCTCGCTGCTGCTCTCTATATATATATAGTATACTCGCAACGCCATGAACAGTCTCAAATCTCTTCTTCTTCTTCTTCTTCTTCTTCATTGGTTTCATCACTCCTTATACTCTCTCGTACACTTCTGCTCTCTGCTCGCTCGCGGTACAGTCGTATAGACTCCAGAGCTTAGCTTTAACTTCCCAGCTTCGGTGACAGGATCAAGCTCAGCTGAGCCCAGCAATGGCGGACCGCGTCCACCCCCGCGACTCGCCGCCGCCGCCGCCGTCCCCGCCTCGCTCGCCGGAGCCCGGTTCGCCGAGGAAGCCCCTCCCCCCGCCCGACGACAAGCCGGTCCCTCCCCTCGTCCCGGGCACCTACGTGATCCAAATCCCCAAGGACCAAATCTACCGCGTCCCCCCGCCGGAGAACGAGGGCCGCTACGGGCGGCGCACCCGCCGGGAGAACCCCCGCCGCCCCCTCCGGCGCTGCTGCTGCTGCTCCATCGCCGCGGTCGCCGCGCTGGTCGTCCTCCTCGCCGCCGCCGCCGGGGTCTTCTACCTCGTCGTGCGGCCGCGGTCGCCGGGCTACGCCGTCAGCGGCATCTCGATCGGCGGGCTCAACCTGACGTCCTCCTCGCCGGTGTCGCCGGCGATGGACGTCGCCGTCCGGGCGAACAACCCGAACGGCAAGATCGGGATCTACTACCTCGAGGGGAGCTCCGCGGAAGTCTACTACGCCGACCTCAAGCTCTGCGACGGCGCCCTGCCGGCGTTCTACCAGCCGGCGAACAACGTGACGGTGCTCGACGCGGCGCTGAAGGGAGGGGCCATGGTCCTGACGAGCCAGGTGCGGCAGGCGCTGGCCAGCGATCAGGGCCAAGGGAGCGTGCCGTTGACGGTGAAGGTAACGGCGCCGGTGAAGCTCAAGGTGGGGGCCGTGAAGACGTGGAAGATTACCGTTAAGGTGACGTGCGACGTAACGGTCGACAAGCTGACGGCGACGGCCCAGATCGGCTCTACGGAATGTGATTACGGGGTCGATATATTCTGAGGAAGAAGATGGTTTATTCCGGCGTATTTAGAATAATGACTATGATTTAATTATTCTTTTTGCGTGAATGAAGCCTGCGAGCTTTTGTAGCTTGTCGTGTAAATTAGGCGGAACAAAAATTCGATTTGCGGTAGAGAAATGAATTTAATTAATCATTCATTGGTATGATTAGGTGCTTTAATCATCATCATTATTATGCATTTTTGGGGGGGTTTGACTTTCGATGTGTATGTATTATACACATTCACGGCGAGATTGATGGGAGAGACGCAACGAATTTTATGCTAGCAATCACGATGGTCGGTCAACCTAAGAAAGTGTTTGGGTTTGCCGTGATTACTCCTTCGAGCATTGGATAGGCCTGATATAAGAAGTGATTATAATCGAAGGCGAGAGAGACTATAGCCGAACCTCTCACTCTGCCTAAACCTATCAAAATGGGATTATAAATCCATTTCTTAACCCATATATCAGTAAATGAGTATAATTGGGTTATTTATATTCATTAAATGAATCATAAATTGGTATAAATGTAATATGGGTGTTAAATGGGTTATAAATGGATTTACAACGCATTTAAACTTAACTCATTTTTCTCGTCCTCACTCATTCTCGTGCTCATTCACTCTGCACTCTCGTCTCAGTTTAGGTGTGTTTTCCCATATTGAGTTAAATATGTAAATATTTTAACAATATGGGTCGGGTCTGATATGTGATTGATATAGGTAATTCGATTTGCATTACATGGAAATGAGTCAAAACGGATTAAATGGGTATATTTATATTAGACCATTTTCGATTTGACCCAAACCCAATCCAACCCACCCGTTTGGCAGGTCTAGCTCAGACCCAATCCTTCCAAACTCACATCGCTACACATAAAAAAGTGCGGTGATTTGAGTTCTGGGGACTTCTGCGGTAAGGCGGCTCGGGCGTAAAACGGTTTTTTTTTTTTCCTAACAGGTACGTTAAAGTGTGAAACTCCCTGCTTATCCAGTAATCTTCCCCATTTGCTCATCACTAATGATTTTTTTTCCCTTCAAAACCCGACGAATGTGATGGGCCGGGGGCAATCAACCACGATTCAGGAAGATGAACGAGACCCGCTTTCTTGAGTCGTTGAAGACACAGCCGACTGTAAAGATTTTATTATAACTTAAATCGAGTTCACAAAACTAATATACAGAAAGCTCTGTTGGTGAATCCCTCTTTACGTTTGATAGCGGTCCTAGCTCAGAGCCGTAATGTAAAACCTACCACCCTGCCTATGAACATCTCAAAATACAACTTTCTCTTCACCCATTTTATTTCCCGACACAACATGGCGATAAACATATAAACCCCCCAAAACCGTAGCTTTATTTTCCACGTAAAAAAAGCCCCATGAGCAAGAAGAAAAGGGGAAGAAGCTCACTGAATTTCCGGTTCGCTTCCAGATGAACTCGATACTGTATGGTCGGTCCTCCCCGTACGGCTGGATCAAGATTCTGTATTGGATACTGATGACATCTCATGGTTGGGACTTCGACTTATCAGACTTTACTCTTGGATCCTTGGATGCCCTTTTCGAGGGACATGTACATATCAACAGAAGACTCCGCGTACTTATTCAACTTACCGAGAAATCCAGCCAAGCTCGACCGGAAGCGGTCAACGCATGTGGTCCAGTCCTCCGAAGCGTGATCTCTCAACGTGTTAACCTCCGAATCAGCCCCGGTTCCACCTTCCCAGGATGTCGGTGTTGTTTGAGGATGTTTCGTGTTCTTTTCTTGGTTCCTTTCTTGACGTGGTAAAAACTGGTGAATTTCTGCAGCCAAACCTTTGACTGACTCCGCCACATCCTTGGAAGGCAAAGCCTCCAGCTTCTCCAACCAGACTCCACAAGTAGCATAGATTGGCGGCCCGTTGCTCCACAGTGGCGCTGGTTGGGCGCCCCACCTTTTTCTCTTGGAAGGTTTTGGGGGAGCCAAAATGCACTTCCCGAACCAATTGTTTATGGCCTCCAAGTAGGTTTTCTGGGCTCCAATCCACTTTGTAAAACTTGAAGATAGTGAGCTCAGTTCATTTTCGAGATGGTGGGTTAGCTGCCGGTGTGCTTCTGAGTACACTGGGATTTTAGTGTTGCTGCTGCTGTGAGCTGCTGAGATTATGTTGAACTGAAGCTTGTGACACTCAAACATGACTTCCCACATCCGACCTAACCTGCATCACGAGAAGCAGCACCTGTAGATGAATCCCTCAAACGACAATCGAATCGATTGCAACTCACTGGTATAGATACTTCAAAACGCGGAGACCAAGATTTAAGAAGGTAGGCACACAAATCAAGCAGAAGCAGCATATAATACCAAAGAGCTTCCACCAGCAACGGACTTGCATTTGCCTTTGCTGTACTAAAGCTTTCCAGAACCCAAAAATATCAGTCTGTTATCAATCAAGAGCATCAGCGAACAGTCATCTTCTTATGATTTACTTGACTGCGGTTTACACTGTCCAAGCCATTAGTCATTATTTCCTATGTATGTTATCAGGTTAAATATTCAGCCGTTGTTCAATACAAGTATTAAGTTTTAGCGAGCAGCATGCAGTGCTACTCTTGGCTTTTTCATGTTTAATGTGCCCTCAAATTAGCATTGTTTCTCATTGTCCAAACAAAGGCATCTAATAAACCAAGACAAACAGTTCTCACAGAATATATTTATCATCTTAGGACTAATATGTCCTGGACATATTAAGTGCACTAACTAGGAGTTGATGTGATTGTTCCACCGATACTCCACCTCAGGGATGAAGCACCAAGAGAAAATTAACCGACTAAATAGCAACTATCCTCAGTCAAGCATGAGGTGGCACCTGCAACATATGACTGGCAGAGTACATCGCATCATAGTTCCACAACTGATGTGCACACAGGAAAAAGAACGCAACTACTATAGACATCAGAAAAGGAAGCCACCCAGCACATACCCTTCAATCAGCTCTTCCAGCTGAGGTTGAAGCTCTTTGTCGCGTAGTTCTTCTATTCTCTTTGAGATAGAGTCAATTCTGTGAATGGCAACTACGACCCTCGAGTGTACATCCTTGATGGAAGCACGAATTTTACCAATTCTGTCAGTTTTTACCTTTAATTCGAGATGTCCTCTTGATTCCAATTGCCTTAAAATTTTACATTTGGCATCATAATCCCTCCTGATCTCATCACAAGCCTGAAATATCAAATATTTGTCATCGACCTGACTTTAAGTAAACAGCATAAAAAATTTGAGGCAAGAAAGCAAAGTTATTCTCTACTAGAAGAATCATCAAATAGCACAATAAAAGATAAGTTAGGGGACCCTCCACAGCATGTTCAAATGCGGTAATACAAAATGAAGTCAGTTCACCCGATATGCTGCAAAATATTTAAAGCAACTCGGTAAGAATCTAGAGAAGTCGCTTTATGGGTGCTTCTACAGATGAAAGAAGAAGGCAGCAAAAGAAAATCATTATTTAAAACGCCGCCAGGGGAAGTAAAACTTCTTCATAAGTGGCATTCATCACCATCAATGTGCATGTTAGTGAAAATGTGGATAGTCACAACCAACACAACAATGGTGATGAGAGCCATTTGCGGAGCACTTTTTCTCCACTGGGCCATATAGATCATAAAAGAAATTAGAAGAGACAAGAGCAAGAAAATCAGAAACATATCCCTCCACCTTCAAATCAGGCAGTTCAAACTTCTAAAGCATATTTTGAGGGGTTGTTTACTGAACTTCCAATTAGATATCACAACACGTGACAAGATTTGGATCTGTGAAATCACAAGAGAAATACTAGTAAAGCTGCCAAGACAAAGATTATCAGCAACCTGTTTGTTGTTAGAACAATAGCCACTGACACAACAACCAAACAAACTTTTTTACTCCCAGCACAAACATGGAAAATCCAATTCGACTTGAATCAGGTATAAATGTGGCTAGAGTCAGCCAGATCAACTTCCAAAAAACCATAGACAGCTCTCTGAAATGCAGTACTCATCTGTTAACCATTCACACCGATCAAACCACCCTTAAGCATCATAATGATGATAGGACAAAAGGTATCCAAGAATCCAATCATACAGAAAAAAAAATTCTTCAAATGAGTCCACAAGCATCCCCTTTGTCCTTACAGACCACAAAAGTAAACATGCCAATGATACATACATACAAATATATATATATATATATATATATATACATACAAATATATATATATATATAGGACAAACATGTCATTATTATAGTCTAGTCACGGCAAGTAGTTCGTAATAATACCTTGACTTCATCATAGAGCTTTCTCTCCCAGGCATATAGCCTATCCAAGGTCGAGGCATGGCTTCCAGAAATCATACAGAAACTGCCGGTGTAATTGCCATTAAGCTCCTCGGTATCATCTTTTAAATTTAACCCTAAGGGATTCCTTGATGAAGAAGAGCGAGATGATCCCGTCCTATTCCAAGTTAAGTACTTCATTGCCGCTTGAGCAGGCTCTAGGTAACAAAGTTATGGCAAAAGATCAGTAACACATCCAGAGCAGAGACAAGAATAATTAACTGCCAAAGAAGCAAACCATCATGCAACCAGACATTATAAGCTCTGAATAGTTGCTTTTGCTTTCTAGAACAGATCACAAAATCATCTCTACTCCATTTTTCCCCACATGTGCAGCAGTAGTGGCCTACTTTTGATATACTTTCTTTTAACTTATGAAAAATGATGAAAAAACAATGCACCGATTTATGTCGATAGTGAGCGATCACAACCTTCTTCAAGGATTGAATAATTCTGAAAAGAGCATACCTTCCTGAACTTGCCAACGATCCTCCCCGCAAGAAAAACATGTCCTGAGGTAGACAGAAACGAGTGATGCGCCTGCCACATCAAAGAGCAATGCTGTTAGAAGTATAAAACCGCAACTCAGAAGAAAGCCAGACCATTAACCACATTTTTTAGCCGAATAAGCATGGAATATTTAATCAAGGTCATGGTTCTCACGCTCCACATGTGCAATGCTCAACATTTTTCAATTGGTACAAACAGAAAGCAAGTGGAAGAGAGAAGAGTTCTGTACGTTCTTTCCCCGGAAATATTGGACGAAAATGCAACTCATTGGCTTCTAGCTTTCTTGGAACTTCTCTCCCAGATTCCGATGCTTTTATGAAAAGACATCCGATATCTTTAATGCTTGAAGAGAAGTCCTTTGCTGTAACCTTCTGTTCGTCAGAGTTGTCTTTCACAGGAGTTCTCTTTGTCTCAGTTGATGGAGCAACGGCAGCTGATTTGCCCCTTTGTGATGACAGATCTGAAGACTTGCCTTTGTCTCCATTCGCAAATTCACCTTCTGAAGTTGCACTTCTCACTGAAGACACAGTGGGAGGGGCACTAGACGTGGATTCATCATTTACCCGATTGACATTTTCAAATCTGCGAACCAGGGTCTCTGTGGAAGGCTCCTCAAATTCATCATCTGAATCCTGAAATTCTTCACTTCTGTCTGTAGAACCCTTCTCTTCATCATCTTCCAACTCGGGTATGCCCTCCTCCTCCCTAAGCCTTTTTATGTCATCAGCATCTTCAAACCCCTGGTTCATACGCTTCCCCTCTTGAGAAGAAAATTGATGGTCGATCGGATGGAAAAAACCAAAGAAATCCCATTGGGGCATTCCAGGTGCAACGGGAGAATCTTCAAATGCTGGCGCTCCTGGTTTTCCAGTGGAATCTGGCGTAGTATTCCGCGGGATACTAGAAAAGGTCACTGTCCCTGTGGTAGGTGATGGCAACTTTTCTTGAACTTCTCTAGAATAGGTACCCGTGTATTTCATATGATTCGCATGATAAATGGTCGAGGTCAGAGGAGGAGATGGAGATGGGGAAAGAGTATAGGCCGTATCTACACGATGCGAAAATGATGGAGAGGAGAATGAAAAATGTGAAAGGGACTTCTCCGTCAATGCAAGCGGCCCCGGTGTGGCACTCGTCGATGTATACAAAGACGATTCCACATGGGCATCGGGTTCGACAAACTTCCCGAGAGCAGTTCCCGTGTTCCTTAGCGACTGAACGTACATAACATGAGCCGCCGCAAGAGAACACCTACCATCGAGGGCTTGCCTAACAAACTTCTTCCTTTCCCGGCATAGCTGCAGGGCCTTATCTTCTTCAACCTTAGAATTCGCGGCCCCCATGCTGCAACGGAGCAATGTAGATATGCTACTCAGCAAATCGGATAAGCTCAAGACAACTTCCTAGAAATCCGCCCGAGAAAAAATCTTAGGATGAACAAAAGTACCGCTTGGCAATAACACGGCATTCTTAACTGAGTTTTACTCCCAAGCTGAAAAATAAATCACGCCCAACTAAACAATATCTCGAGCCTAACTAAATAAATCATGTAAACAGGGGAATGCGTTCTAGTGAATGGGTAGATGATGTTATTAAAACTGGGCCTCCACGAGCTGCGGCGTGTCACCCGTATACTTATGTTGATCTTGAACACAGCAGTTTTCATTTGGCCAAAAAGAAAGAAAAGAAAAAAACTGGAAATTTGCAGAATCCGTCTCCTGGAAGAAAGGAAAAGCAAAGGAAATAGGCACAAAATATACTCGAATTGCACCATTCTAAGTCCAGGGCAAAACCTGATAAAATCGGCGACAGGAAGCTACGAAACGCCGTTAAAATGGGCAATTCGCTCAGACCCAGAAATCTTTTCTACACTCGAGCGATCCTTCGACGCGCGGGGATCACAATTCAATCCTCCGCAGCGGCGCCGACGCAGCTAATCTGGAAATCTGCGGAATTAGACAACGCGAGAGGCCAGATTACATTGCCGAAAGCCAGAAGGCGGTACCCAGCGGGGCCGTTGGCGAGCTGCTGTACCGAAACCACCAACGCGGATCCTATTTCCGCAACACCAAAAGAAAGGAAAGAAAAGAAAGAAAGACGATAAGATCAGGAGGGGGAGAGCGCCGGAAACCCAGCGAGATCGAGGCTCCCGGGAGCCCCGCCGGCCGCCGGCAATCGAGCGCGGCGAGCACCAAACGAGCTCGGGAGAGCGAGAGAGAGAGAGAGAGAGAGCTGGGTGGGGGTGGTGCCCGAGTACCTGGACCGCAGTCAATCAGAGGCCCCCCCGTCCCCCGCGGCGAGAGAGCGCTTGGAATTCAGGGAAGGAGAGCAGGCAGGGCAGGGGGGCCACCAGGAGATAGAATCATTGCACCATGTGCCACCGCCATGTTTAGAGAGAGAGAGAGAGAGAGAGAAACGGAAGGAACAGCGGGCGGTTTCCGATTTCATGCAGACGCAGAGGCAGGGGGGGGGAGTTAAAAGTGAGGAGGAGGAGTGGGACGACGAGCGAGATGAGTGTGAGTAGGGGGTGGGGATGGGAGTGGGAGCGTGGGACCCGCGTGCGCCCCCCCGTCTGCCTCTTTTTTTTTTCCGGGCCTCGGCTCGGCCGTGGCCGTTGGATCTGATGGAGATGGACCGTCCGTATTCTCCCTTTCCCTTTTTTCGCCTCTCTTTTTTTCCTTTTCCTTTTTTCCCCTCCCCTTTTTTTTTTATAGTTCGATTTAATTTTTAGTTTTCGTTGCGTTGCAATGTACGTGCGCTTCCTCAATTTTGTTTTCCATTTTTCTATTCTTTTTACGTTTTTTTTTTTTTGGTCCCCTTTTTTTTCTCGCCAGCGTCACCGTCGACTCGTCTGCTTCCTCCTCGTCCCCCTTTCGGACGGCGACCGGGGGTGGGTCCGTGGCTAAAATAAACACTATTTCTCATGTGATGTGAGGCCACCTCTTCGCTTCTTTATTTTCACGTCCCCACATATATTATTATTGGTCATTCAGCATTTGGCACGAGAGGTCAGCGTGATTCCAAGATAGAATATTGAACTTTGAAAATATGACCGGTACGAACACGTAGGTTCCAGGTTTCAAGATATGTACGGCAGATTTCAGGTTTTAAAAAATGAGATACCTGTTTCCATGGATATGTTCCAGATTTCATGTGGAACCTGTACAGAACCTGGAACCGCTCACCTCTATTTCGCACTAATTACAAAAGAATTAATCGAATTGCTCGGGGTTCCTCGAGAGGTCGAAATTGTACTCGACGACTGAATTCGTCGAGAAGTCGGAACTTAGGAGACTAGAACCAATACTCTATCCAGATAGCGCGAAAGGTTAACGACCGAGTCGTTTCCGGGTACGGGATCTCGTAAAATTTTTAGAGAGGTAAATTATTTTATTTCATGCTGTGGACAATGTGTGGATGGATTTTGTGAAGGGTAATCTTCTCATAATCTAATCTCTAAAGTCTTTTAAATAGGAATCGATCCCGATGTCACCCAACCAATTACACGACGGGGGACCACGCGATTGATCTCTCTCGACCTGGCTTGGAATTCGAATCTTTGGGCCATCTTAAAGTATAGTTGCGAGGGTTTCTGTGCAAAAAGGATAACAAACAAATAGCTTTGAGAATCACTAGTTCAGGTTGCTTGTCGGATGCACATCCTAAGTTATCATCGCTAGATATTGTACTGCTTTAATCGAAATAGATCTTGCATCTTTAAATGACTCTAGACCTCGAGGGATGTCACTCCTATTTGTTCGAAAGCATGTTCGAGGAGATCGATGTCGCTACTTGTTAGAATTTCGAAATATAAAATCACGCGTTTATCTGTCATTTTGAACTTTTAAGGCAGCCCCATAAAGTTTGAATTTTCCTTCAAGTTTGTTTTACTTGGCAATTCCCTGGAATGTTTGAATGAAGCAGGAAGTAAATTACCCTATTTCCTTCAAATTTAGTTACAAAGAACGTCTGTTTTTACCAACTCCATTTATTTCGCGGGGAAATGAATAATTTGAAAATTATTTTCCTAAAAAATAATCGATTATATCGCTTGGAATAATCGGTCAATGAATGACCATTTTCATTATTGACAACAATTTATGTATAATTTTTTAAAATATTATTTTCACAATCATTCATTTCCTGCGAAACGAACGCAACCCATTAGAGATGATACTATCTTTTACCTCTCTCCTCTTCATCTCACAGTGAATTTTGCAACGAATCCCCCCAAAAGTCCAGACCTTTATTTTCTGGCAAAAGGGTACCAAATGAAAGCTCAGCTTTCAAAAGCGATCATAAACGCAAAACACACACACACACACAAATATATATATTTGAAGTACATGACACCTTTTGCTTTGATCGACAGACCAAAAAGAGGGAGGGAGAACGAGGGAGACAACTAGGAAAAGTCCCCAAAGGCCAGGCATGGCGAGTGAATCTTTCTCGTTACACTTTTCATTCGTCGATTGAGGATTTGTTTTTTTTATTCTTCTCCAAGGCTTTATGATGTGGGACGACCTTTTATTAAAGCTTTTGAAACCAGTTCTGGATCCAGGGGGGGGGGGGGGGGGGGAATTCACGAGACGAATGCCAGCCTTTTCTTTTTGCCCAAAACTGATGAGCGCTTTCGGGAGAAATCAAATCGTCGGGTGAGAAATTGTCTGGTCCACCATAGGAATCATTGGGCACGTGAAAACGAGATTTTGTAAAATTCACGCGACAAATTTGGCATATTCTCTTCCACCCCCTTTACACGTCATCGGGAGATATGGCCATTGAAAAGTATTGAACCATTTCATTTCGTGACGTCGTGGGGAAAGATTCTTGTGCGTTTTGGGTCACGCCCTACGCAGTCTAAAAGTAATCTATGGATCGTAGAGGCGGGCGACGAGGGTTCGATGGGGCCGGCGAAGGTCGCTGGTCCTTATGTTCGCTCGGTGCTCGGTTTCGTATGTAAGATTTTTATATCTCAACCTACGGAGTTGGAAATTCCGGTATGAATAGGATTTGCTTCATCCGAAGCCAAACCAAGCTGGCCATACGGACGAATGAGATGAATGATTAGAGAAGAATGTTGGGCTCCATTTGTTTCACGGAATATGTTACGTATTTGAAATATATTTTTCCAGGAAGTTATATCGTAGAGAAGTGATAATATTTTCCGTTATTTGGTTGAAACCTGAAAAAGAAATGGAAAATATTTCTCTGTCGTTTGGAAAGGAAATTTTGATTTGATTTTTCTAAATACACGTACACTATCTAGGCGCTAATAACTTGCGCACGGGTAGCTAAGAAACCAAGCATGGTCTCCAAGATCGGGCATGAGCACTTGCGTCCCAAGCAAGAGCACAAGCACTGGTCCCGGGTCCATAGAGGCTGGGCCCGATCCCTAGCACCTGGGCCCTAGTCCATAAAAGCTGAGCGCAAGACCTTAGTGCCAAGGCAATAGAGGCCACGCTAGGTACCTAGCGGTTAGGCTTTGGTCCCCAACACTCAAGCCTTGGTCCATCGAGGCTAGCCCTAGACACTAGTATTCATGCCTGAGTCCTTGACAACCGGGCCCGGGTCCTCGATGCTTGAGCCCGAATTCACAAGGGCCAGGCTCGGGTCCATCGAGGCTGGGCCCTAGACCGGTGCCAATGCTCGAATCCCTAGTGCCTCGATGGACCCTAGCACGAGCATCGTAGTCCTCAGTCGCAGCCTTAATGGACTTGGGCTTAGGCACGAGGGATATGGGCACAAGCATTGGGGGTACTGAACCCGGCCTTGATGGACTCGGGCACAGATCCATCGAGGATCCGGACCTAGGCATCGGGGACCGAACAGGGGCACTGGAGTCCCGGGCCTCATGCTCGGTGGGAGCTACATCGATTAGAAAAGGATGTTAACCAAATTCCTTTTTTATGCAGACGTACCCAAATGAAGCATTGCATGGGAAGATGACCTGTCGATTTCTAATGGAACGGGTATCGAATCAAAAGGCAGATCGTGCACGGTAACGTGAAGACGATGACGTTAACAAAAGCGTGATCGCTGGTGGCTAACCACGCTCAGTTTTTAGGGTTATATCTTTGAAAGAAGATTCTTCCACAAATGGGGTTTGGTAAGTTGTCTCGCTCGACGCTTCCGTTTTCTAATCTGTTTTTCAAGTAAGAGATGAACTCATTATACGGGAAGGGTTGTGCCTGACCGGTGTCGAATGAAGGAGGAGTTAGATTTTTAGACAAGGTAGCAATTGATTGGGCAAATCTTAACCCACTCCCAATGAAATGGTTGGTTTATCGGTAATGCTTATTGCTTTGCTGGAAATGACTCCACCTGACGAAATACCTTTCATCGAAAATTGGACCTCCGGCTTTTATTTTGGATTAGGTACCATGGCAATTCGGACGTGAAGTGTTTAGGTGTAATCAAAACAGGAACTAGTGCTAATTACTCTGAAGGAAAGTAAGTACAATAAGGGTGCGCATGAATACCATTCTGTGCCCGGGCGCTATTTCTGAACAGAAATGATTTTTTTTTATTCTGTGCCCGGAAACAATTTCTGAGTATTTAAAGGCGTTTGATAAACGTCCAAAATTTCTATTCCTAGAGTAGAAAAGAACAGAAATGCGTTTGGTAACTACACAAAATTTCTGTTCCCAAATAATATTTTAATAATATTTTGAATTGTTTAATTTTTTTTTCTACTTTCTTCTTTGGCCATGGCGGTCCCTCGCCGCGGCGACCGGCCACGGCCGGTGGCCGGCGAGGGCATCATGGACCTCGCCGGCGGCCGGCGGAGGCGAGGGTCGCCCTCGCCGGCGAGGGCGAGGGCCGGACCCTCGCCGCCCGGGCGAGGCCGACCTCGCCGTCGCGACGGACGGCGAGGCTCGGCCTCGCTCGATATGGGCGAGGCCGCCTCGCCCGGTGGCGAGGGTCCGGCCCTCGCCCTCGCCGGCGAGGGCGACCCTCGCCTCCGCCGGCGGCCGGGGAGGGCCGTGACGCCCTCGCCGGCCCTGGGCTGTGGCCGGTCGCCGGCCGCCGGAGACCGGCGACCGGCGGCCGGCTCAGCCAGGAAGAACAACACACAAAATAAGAAATGAAAAAAAAAGAAAAAAAAGAAAAAAAACTGATTCTCAAAATTGTCCTAAACAAGAAGCAACTTTTTTTACTTCTTGTTTCTCTTCCAAATCGCTTCTCGGCACAAATTTTTGCAAAAATGTGCCGAGGAACAAAAAGTTTACCAAACGCATTTCTGTTCCCAAACTATTTCTGGGAACAAAAGAACAGAAATTTTCACTATTTGGCACGTTACCAAACGGGCCCTAACTGAAAAGCTAAATTGATACATTGCAAGATACATTGTTTGTGTAGGTGGTCGGGGGTCTTCTTACAACGATTCGACACAGCTTTATATAGCCCCGTTACACAATGTTAGCTGCTTCTAAGGGGTTAATATTCAAATTAGAAGTCTGCGATTGCATGTCAATCTTCTCACGAACTGTTGACAACTCCTCCATTAACGTCTTCATCGCTTTCACTTTTCTCCTTCAACACTTAAGCTAAATCTACTAAGTATCAATTGCCAACCAATCGTCATCGTATGTCCAGTATCTGGTCATCGATGTTCATGATCATCGACAAGCTCCTTTGCCCCTTAATATCCTATCGATATTCCAATTGCTTCGACGCCAAACTTCATATCAGCATTGTGTCAGCTGCTAATATCCGTGTTTTATCTACAAGCTTTTCTTCTAATGACCATCGGTCGATAACAAAAGCGACCAACACCGAGCTCTATATCCACGTCATGTCGATTAACAAGACTTGGTATGGCAATCGTCGTATCCGCGGTATTCCTAGGAATCTTCAACTAGGGGTGATTGATTCTAGGATCGGTTGAGTCCAGACCTGGAACCTGAAACCAACCATGTTATAACCGGTTCCCAATTTTTGAAACCTGAAACCTACCCTGTTTTCCCTAGACCATGTTTTGGAACCAACCTTGTTTTTTCAGTTCGGTTTCAGGGTCTACCCGAGAATCTTTTTTTTTTTGTTCCTTTTTCTGGTTTCATTTTTTTCCAGCAAAATAATATAGGTAGCAATGAAACGATTCAAAGTAAAAGATAAATAATAAAAACCACTATCCGCCAAAAGTAACAATCCCTAAAATGAGCAATTAAAATTACAATCCATCAAAATCAACAATCCAAAAGCACTATGTGGCAAGACATAGTCCAATCGCATAAATCTTTAAGAGTCACATTTCTAGAGAATCTATTCAACATGTTTAGCTCTTTATTTTGCGCCATGATGAGAGAACTCCTCACTTGTTTAGCTCTTTATTTTGCGCCATGATGAGAGAACTCCTCACTTCTATTTCCGAATGAAATATCCTAAAAGGAAAATCAAGAGGCTTAGCAGTAAAGTATCTGCTTTCACTAGAGAAATGTTTATATATCTTATTTAAATCACACAATATTTAAATGATTTTAAGGGCCGTGCTGTTTCGTTTATAGCTGTGAAACAGATCCCAATATTGAGCTGCAAGTAATTTCCTCCAGAAGTGCATAATGCACGTATTGGCTATTGGTAGAGCATGCAAGCGATTTACTACAAGGATATGGGAAAGGTTTTCTCAAATTCAGGCTCATCAAGAAAGATGGAGAACAAGAGCCATCTTTGGCCGCAAAGTCTTTGAGAAAGGTAATCACCTTGTAGGATAGGAAGTTCTAGCCAGTTTTCCAGGTGCCTTATACAATAAAACTTTTCCAAATGAGCCAACAATGACTAGACTAAAAACTACCATGAAAGGAATCCTTGGAGAACAGAATGTCGGCACCATCCATGGGATGAACCCCTAATAGATCTTAAGTCAGAACACCAAGTTTTAGCTCATAAACTGCACAAATCTCTCATGTATAGATGCGTAGCAGCAAAATTCCTCACCCTTAAATTCCAAGTCACTGGGTCAACATCATCAACACCTCCGTATCGCAAGCAAATACCGCTAGCAGGCTAAAAAGACCATCAAACACAAAAACAGAACCGAGCACAGGCGCGTAATCATGTAGATCTATAAAGAAACAAAACAAAAAAGCCAATCGATCAAAAGTTCACAGCAAAAAACACGGCGAGTGGACCGCAAAACAAGCGAATCCACGGAGAATTTCGTCACCTACTTACAGATCTACCGGATTGGCGAGCCAAAAAGGCGGAAAAAACACATACACGGTACGGACGCCGAGATGATCGAACTCTAGCCCTCTTCAACACGCAAGCAGGAAACGGGCTGGATTGCGTTTTTGCGGCGACTGAGGAGGCGCTTGCGAAGAGAGAAATCATGAGAGACAGAGGAGGTCGCGAAGAGAGAAACCGTGAGAGAGAGACTGGGTAGCCAGGTAGGGTAACGTGATCTAAGGTTTTTACTCTTTTTTTACATTATCTCAAAACCGGTTCTAAAATCGGTCAGGGTCGGCTTTTACTTGGAACCGGAAACCGGATCGATTTTAACCGGTTCCCAAATAATGGAACCGGTTTTTGAACCTATTTTTCGGATGAACCGGTCCGATTTTCGGATAAACCCGATTCGGTTGCACGCTGCTGTCTTCAACCAACGTGGCCCAAGCTGTCCTGCTCGAGGAAAACAGTGAAAAGGTAAAGGAAGTCACAGGACGAATCTAAGTGGTCAGAGATGGAAAGCCGCATAGGATTAAAGAATTCGGAGGACGCATGTGATCTGAGTAGGATCCAAAGGGGAAAAAGGGGGGGGATAGGATCGCCCGTGTCAGTAAAAACGTCGCTTTGTCGTCCGGTTTTATCCCCCCTTAATTTACGAGCGTTAAGGTTGGAATCTCGTAGGGTGTACGGAACGACGGAGGGGGGCATCGTCGTTCCGAAACAGAACGGCTAATTCCAGCAAGATTCGACATTAAATTATGTTTGACAGATGCACCAGGCAACGTGTTTTTGTCGCTAATTGTAGCTAACGATTTCATTTGTCCTTTACAATTGTATGCTACCCACCTGCATTGTGATATTTAGCTAACACCGCAATTGTCCATGCATTATCTCTCGTGCCCGCTAATTAAGTCTGCCCCGTGCTCGTCCTCGGCTCGCTGCTTGGTTTAAGAGAAGAAATCGTTCACGAGTAAGGCGAGATTCGAAACATGCTCGTCCGCCTCCGATTCTCGGGGATTTCCTCGACGTAATTTCTCCACGATTCGGTACGGACCGAATCTGTATAAGCTTTCTCATCTCATCCGTATACAGAGAGAGAGAGAGGTATTTGACCCAAAAGGCAATCAGGGGACAAAAGGAGTGTGGGATTAGCAAATTCGAAACGTACGTCCCCATGTGGGTTAACTTTCGTCTTTTGGGAACCGACCGAGAGGCTAGAGCCAACGGATGAAATCAGCTCGCTTTTGCCTTTGGTCCTCCAGCTAAAGAATCCAAGCTGCAAGCTGGCTCGCACGGATACTCGCAAAAGAAAGAACACCATCACTTAGGATAATGCATCCCCTCGATCCCAATAAATTTGATGGTAAAGTATGATGTTTCCGTTCGGAAGAATTGGTTCGAGTCTGTACATTCCCTCAAAACTTCTCCCTTTTCGCAAGAGACTCGTGTGTCGACTTTGCAAAATCATTCCGACAAGCTGAGATTTTAAGCACTTCACAAAACAAGAGCGGTCTGCTTCTTGTCACTCTTCGGTTCTTCATGCATTAGAGGAGGGGCCGTGGCGGAAACCTATCGAGATATGATCGTTCTATCTATATGCTCAGCTGTATTTGTCAAAATTGGATGCGCTTCTGCCTTTCAGCATCGAAAGTATAGCAAATGTAATAGTTGTATCAGGTAAATGCCTCCCCCTAACAAGTTCTTTCTTCCCCTAAATCAATCATAAGCGACTGTCTGGTTCCTGTAACAGCCTAGTATCACTGACAAACTTCACGATAGAAGAAGAAATTTCCATGAAAGTTTTCATTTTGTTTTGTGATTTAGAAGAGAAGGTGATTTCCCTCTTACTAAAAGGAAAAGTATAGTTTTCCTCCGATCTAAATTTGTTGTTTTCAATCGATGATAAACGTTTTCCGTAGATCGATTAGTTTTCCGTCGTACAAACAAACGAGAAGTCGAAAAAACAATTTTCCGAAAACGGTTTTTCTTCGTACAAATGGACCCTAAGTGGACATATATATGCAACCATTGTTCAATTTACAATGCAGTCGACTTGAATCCCGACGTAGCAATAAGAAAAGGCAATTGAAATTACACTTGGCTTCACTAGTATTAGCGTTGGTACAATGACTAATAGAGTATTTATCTCGCGAAAGAACATAGCACAGAATTTCTCTCCCCTCCTCCCAAAAAGGAGGTGCCGCTCGAATGATTCCGGCAGGTGAGGGGAAATCAGTCTCACAACGAGCTCGTGCCAGAACAAGCAGCAGCACACGAGCAGGGCTTCGAGATAACAGAAACCATTTTCTACACATCGCCAATTTGCAAAGACATACGCGGGAGAAACAAAAAACATCAGAACCCAATGACTTTCCTATGCACATGCTGTCCTCCAGAACCCACATCGCCGTCATGATCGTGATCATGAAAAATGAGAGTTAAAACTCCTACCAAGCAGAGGACTGAGCCTACAAGAAGCTTGTCATACCGCTCCACCCAGTGGAACTTCAGCTGGCTAGCTCCATAAAACGAGAGAGCCACCAATGAGGTCATCACAGTTATGGTGCTGCAAATCCAAATACATTACCAACAACCAGCAGTTAATCTTCACTCTCCCAGAAGGGGGATGAGAAAAAATAGAAAAAACAGAAATTTCCGCCTGAGAACTTGGCAATCTAATGATAGATGATGTCGTCAATCATCTGAATAAAAAACGATTTTGAATAAGCTACCTACAGCATTCAGACACAAGCACTGAAAATAGCAAACTGACAAAGATCAATGTGAAACAAAGATCGTGTTACGTACTTATCAGGCCAAAGTCTCAACAACAGCCATATCTAAATTTTGTTTCTTTGTACTGTATAACTATTGCGGAGAACAGCCACGTACCATCATCTCACCATTATAAAAAGGATATAGATCAGAAATGTAAGATTTCGATGTCCGGTAATACCTGAAGAGCAGCACAATGATGGCAAGTATCATCATGGAAGATGAGTTTCCCACGGCAAGAAACACAGGAAGTGTGGTCGCACATGGAGATAATGCCGGTACAAGAACCAGACCGGCAACGGCCATTTTCTCCATAGGTTGGTTGTGTGAATGACTGTGACCACCTTTTCCGGAAAGAAACAACAACACATAGCTACCACCGAGAATTACAAGCAAAAGAGAAGCGAGTTTATGGACCGTTTCTTCGCCAGCGATCGTATTTGCCATTGTAATAGCAGTGATGCCAAGAAGTGAAGTAGAAATTACATGCAAAACTGCCCCAAACGCAGCTGCAGACAGAAAAAAGATTCGTTATAAGAACTACCTGCACCAAAGCGGCCTAAGCAAATATCAAGTCAATAGTAAACCCGACAAGACCGAACCAAGTTACAACGCTTTCCAAACACCTGAAATTTGTTGCTATGAAGAATCCTCGATTCACATAACAAGAACCTTCCTAGAGACAATTACCTCCTGTGAAACTTTCCACTTATTACCGGGCAGTCACCTACCAACTAAGCTGTTCCAGCACGCGAGAATACTATTCCACAGCTTTGGTCTCCGTACCCTCACACAGCATTCTTAATCACAAAGTAAATCCCCGCAAATTTTTGCAAATTCGGCAAGAAAGAGTGTCATGGCATTATACATTTTTCTGCTTATCTTCACCATCAAGATTCCCTTTTCCGGTTTTCCTTTCCCACGCGAAAATCCGACTATGAAGTTATTCAGCAACCTTAGAGCCTAACCTTTTCCTATCCAAGTAGAAAATCTAATCCAAGTTCTCTCTCCTTTTTTTTTTTTTTTTATCTCCAACAGAAACAATTCAAACACTCAATTTGCAAATAAGAACCAACAGCCCATTAACTGTCTTCTTTGTAGCCTAAAAATGCAGCGCATTTCCTCTACGTTTGTTCAGACATTCACATCTTCCTTAAAAGCAAAGCAGCAGAAGAGAACCAAAAAAGAAAAACGAGAGTGCAACGAATTCATCCACATTCCTTCACTGTGCATCTGGCACGTTGTCAAGAACGACCGATTCGGACGAAACAACAGATCTGCGATAAATCTCACCGCAATGCACAAGCGTTCGACACGAAACCCCAACCGAAACACGCAAAAGAGTAGACAAGCCTCAAGCAAGTGCCATCGCAACACCAATTACGTCCAGAAGCTGGAAAACAGCGAACTACTGCTGTAATAAGAGCTAACAATACTCTCAAAAAAAAAAAAAAGGTTTTGTCCTCCTAACGCTTCCGCATCTACCAGCAAACGAGCTCAAACACAACCGCACGCGACGCGAATCGGGAATCAGGAGGACAGAGATCCGCGAGCAAGACACGCGGAACACGAGCGCAAAGACTCGCGACTGAAATGAGGAGGAGGGAGATAAAGACGTACTGACGAGGAGGGTGCGGGAGAGGTTCCACTTCTGGGCGCGACCGACGATGGAGAAAGGGAGCCAGTGCGTGGGGATGAAGGAATGCAGGAGCGACACCGTCGCGATCCCGCCGATCGTCGATAGATCCTCGGGGCTGAACCCTTCCATCCTCATCCGATTGCCCCACTCCTCTTCCCCCCTCGATGGTCCGAGATCGTCGAGCGCGGAGAAGCGTGGGAATCAAAACCGGGTCGCCGGATCGGAATGGAATTGCTGCATTCGCGGTGGGATGAGAGCGCGGTTCGAGCACATGTATGCGAGGGAAGATGAGAGAGACGCGGCGATCTAGCGGAGGGAAGCCGCAAGCTATACCGGCTGCTGCTGATTTTGCACTCCAACTCGAGAAGAACGAGACGGATGCGTCGAGTTTCGCAATTTCTTTGGAACTTCCATAGGAAGTAGAAACGAGCTTAAGCGGTTTCCCCCAAAAACTGGACTAAGTTTTTGCTCCGTATGGGCCACCGGGCCTCCGTCTCCGTTCGCGGCCCATATCGTGAAGTGGTGCATGCGCCATCCAGGGACATAGTGATAACAAAGTCCGGCTGCAGTAGCGACCGTGTTACGTGCTCGAGACCCCCGGACTCCGATACCGGGGTCGGCGACGAGGAGCTATTACTGCCGGCACAAAGAGACCGACGGCAATGACCGATATCCTCGCAGATACGGCTGGTATGCTCAAGACTGCTAAAGGTGAGGGACTTGTGCCGATGCGCAGGCCGGGGCTCATTTCCCCGATTTTCGCTCCCTTCTTTTTTGTATAGTGCGTTGGTGAAGTAGAGCTAACGAAAGAAAATGACCCAAGATAACCCCGTTTAAATGAAATTAGTACTTGACAAAGATTTATGACCTCTCCTACCTCGTACACCCACGTTCGAAGAACAGCACCAAATCTCAAGGAATGAGACTGCTGATTCTAACATCAAGGATTGACCTCACCCAGATGGAAATGGCATTCAATGCCCTTGGCGAACTAAGAATATTGATACGAGAATACACCTTTAGCTTGACCAGGCCCCTGCACGGGCCAATAACTGGATGACAGTAGCTTCCGTGTATAAAAGAGGACATGGCTGATCCAGAACTCTTAGATGATAATGATAAAAGCTCAATTCGTTCGTCTGTAAAACTTGTTTAGACGCAATCCACCATCGACACATAATAGGGCTACAAAAAGCTTCTCGGGTTTTGCAATCAAACTTTCTCCGATCAACATAAAAAGCTCATCTGAATAAATGAAACACGATGCCCAGCTGAGCGAGTAAAGAAATGAAAAATCTAAAGTGACATCTAAGCATTCCAAAATCTTAATGGTCGCCGGGCATGCTCTTGATGATGTCAGAGTCACCTGAAAATCACAGTTTGTTCTCCGTCAAACCAAGTTAAGCGAATCATAGAACCGTAGTGGCATTAACCAACGGGAAGTGACCATCAACTTTACCTGGGTCAATAATGCTGAGGCAGCATACCCTATAGTATTTTCCGCAGGCAGTGCCCAGGTCTACGTTGTCTGATACAGCAAAGCGAGAATTGTTCAGAAAAGATTATCAGAAGGCATGTTGAAAACATTAAACAGCAGAAAAAAAGGTGACGATGGTAATTGCTCCTAAAAAACCAGTCCATCTCTAAACGGATTTGATAGTCATTGATTTGTCTTAATTTTGCTTTTATGTGCTAAAAATTCCATATGAAACAAAAGACTTCCATTCAAGTATAAAGCCTACGCAGGAAGCATGGTGATGGCAATCAAATATGAACCCAAGAAATATGCGACCCTCATTCACCAGCCAAATTTGCATGAGCAGACATGATCAGCATATTGCGCTCAATAAGCAACCAGTGTCATCGGCCATGTCAAACATTGAAGACAAATGTCAACAATCCAATTCTCGAGGCGCAATTGCAGTCAAGCTTGAAAATCATATAGGCATAAGTAATCATGAGCAAGATATAAACAAAGATAACATACTAGCAGCCATTACTTCATGTGGCTTCAGAAAGTAACAAAGTGTTTCAACACGAGCACGAAGACACGATAAGAGCAGCATACGAGGGAAAAGACTTACTTCCGTTGTAGTGATGCACTCCAACCTTTGCCAACATAGCATAGTACTCTATCTCAGACTTTCGGAGAGGAGGGCAGTTGTTAGCAATGATGACCAGCTTACCTGATAAACAACTTCACATCACAATTCTAAACCCATATAGCAAACCAAATGTAAAATTTTCCAAATTTAAACCAAAGCGCTGTCTTCACCATGGTGTACTACAACGCCGCATTCAAAGCCATCGTATCGATGCGCATATTGGGCTGTTACTAACGATTTCGTCGCTCGAACTGGTTATGCAGGTCCAGAACTAATGCTTCGCGCCACATACCAAAAGTCATTCACGCGCTAATCATCCAACCGTCTACAGAGAACCCTACGAGCACCGCTAGTCTCTCCCTTCATTGACCCAGGCAATGGCCATTACCACCCACAACTCATCAAACTCCACAAATGGAAACGTACCTTTGGAGTTCCTCAGGGTCTTGAGGACGGTCTTGTACCCCAACGTGTACTTGCCGCTCTTCATGACGAGGGCGAGCCTGTTGTTGATGCTCTCATGGGTCTTCTTCTGCGGATTCACAGATCAAAAAAGACATCGCCAGCAAAGAGGAATCAACTTCCGCCTCGAGCTCAAATTCGTCGTACAACACTCCGGTCAATGCAAAAAACCGACCAAATCAACAGAGATGGTTCTCTTTCTCTCCGATACGAATCGGCGACACGGAGAGAGGAAACATGAAGTTCAACGGAGACAGAGGGAGAGGGAGAGAGGGAGGGAGAGTTATTACGGTCTTCTTGGCGGCCACCATGGTTGAATGCTTAGGGCTTCGATCGGAGATGCTGAGGCTGAAGCACCGAGTCCCAGTCCACCGCAGGCGAAAGCTTCGAGCGCGGTAGAGAAGCGGGCGGTTATAAGGCGAAGGAATTAGGGTTTGGAGCGGTGTTTTTCCCTTCTGTTTGTTTGCGCGGATAGCGCGTGTTTGGAAACAGGGTTACGGTGACCTGACCAAGGATCTGCTGATCGTGGGCCGGTTTTAGTGGGCTCGGTATGACAGATGATCCATAATTGGTTGGCCCATGTGATGTGCAACTGCATGTCAATAGACTCAACAGTCAAGGCCGTGTTTGTTTTGATTGTTAAGTACTGATTTAGTCTTCTGACCAAAAAAAAAAACAGAGTACTGATTTAGTCCTCCAACTTTCGGTGTTTGTGAAATCTAGTTCTCTAACTTTTTGAATATGTGCACTTTGGTTCTCTGAGCTTCATTTCGTGCAATGAAAGCATCCAACTTTCTTGATCTTTGCACTCAAGTCCTTTTGCTCACTCGCCATAACCAGTACAGTGAAATTGATGTTTTTTTATTTTCTTATTTTTCCCATTTGTTTTTTTTTGCTCATTTGGCCCCTAGTTAGCATCCCGCGTCATTTTTTATCGCATATGCAATACCACATCATTAATTAATTTGACGGTTTAGTTAGAGTAGTCGATCGAAAGGATTGGATTTCGCAAATTGAGAAAATTGGAAGACTTGGTTGCAGAAAATTAAACTTAGATTGCTAGATCAAACGAATGCAGAAAAGTAGAGGACTTAATTTTGACTCAAATAAAAGTTATACAACCAAATGACATCGATTTATCTCATAGCGTTTTTATGACCCGTGTGCGACTGTAGTGATCGTTTCGAGACATATTGCAATTCAGCTTTGTAATAATTGGAGTTACAAATGTTCGCACTTCTTGCTTCATCGCTCCTTGATTTTGTATCGCTAGATATGAGACAGCATTTGGAAATACACGCTTCATGAGATTTTTGTATCGTCGTTTTGCATGTTGTAATCATGGAAGAGAACGTCGTGCCATTGGCAAGAAACAAAACCCTGACAATGCACCTGAATTCACAAGAACAGCCTCAACAACAGACCTATCAAATGCGTCGGTTGAATCAGGTTTGGGTCGGGTCATAGATGGTCTGACCCAAATTAACTTATTAACCTGTTTATGAGTCAAGAACAACAGAGAAAAAATTTACCATGACTAAAAGGGAGATATGGAAAGTGAATCCTCGGTGCATCAGTACTTAGCTTTACAGGCGCCGCTCTGTTCTATGCAGTCTGAGCTCTCTCACTGGCGTGAAGATGAGGATAAGAAGAAAAAGCCATTGCAGTCTTATTGTCCAGCACTGTTGGTAAACTGAAATTATGCCCACTCCAATTCAATTGAGAAATATGTGACAGCGCCTACATGCAAACAACTAACTCGAATCCTCAAATCATATACGTTACAGGGTCCCTAGACGGAGGAATTGCCAAATTGTGCACTCTTCAAAGCCTTGGTAATAAAAAAACAAAATAAAAGAAAAGAAACAAACAAAAGAAGAATAAGAAAACTAGCTACATTTACAAAAATGCGTAATTTACAAGGTTTCATTCGCAGCCGAACTAGAAGAGAAAAGGCCATACCCAACTTGATGGGACTGACTGAGCGCTGGATGAACAAACTTTGCCACTGCAGAATTGCAACAGTAAGGCGCCTAGCTAAGTAAAAGAAAATTCACAATCTTCAACTATTCACTTCCGCTGCTTTTTCACCGGGGGGTCGGACTGGGGCTCGACCTATCATAATCCGTGTTCAAGTTAAGATTAGAGATGAAGAGATCAAAAACATATACATATATGATGAGGTATCTGGCTGCACACTCATTGAAATCGTCTCGGATAAATGTTACGATATCCATATTCATTTGCTTGCAAAAAGCAACCGCATGATGACATGCTTAATGAATAATTGTAGCATCATATCAACTTTAAACATGAGGATTAAAACTGCATTAAGAAGTTTGCGGTCCCGCAATTTTGGTAATTCAAACAGTGATCCTTCCAGAAAAGAAATTGAAAAGCTTACATCGCTTGACAGTTGCTCGCGTATATAAGCCATAGATCTTAACATGGCACCCAATGTATCTCGAGACACTTGAAATTTAACCTCTGACTCTCCCGATGTTGTCTCCGTATCTTGGAGCTAAAAACAACAAAAGCAAGTTTGTTGAGCAATTGATCTACCCATTGAGCAATAGATCTAAGTGTGATTGACATAAACAAGTTTGTCATACACGGATAACAACCGTAGATATAAACAGTACAGTCTCAATAAGATGTGCGAACAGAAGAAAATCAAACTTCCGCAATATTTCTTTTTTCCCCTCAGATAAGTACCAGACTGCTTAGTTATGCTCCATATTTTTTAAGACAATACTAACCACAATGAGAATATTCTCCACCAAGTTACCAGTAGTTGGTCCTTGACCTCAATAATGGGACTTGTGCGAATTTATGATATCAACAATGATGGCTATGTGACTAGAGAT